CTCGGAGTAAAAAATGATTAAGGTAAGAATTGTGGCGGCTTCCAAGCCATGAACAACGGTGTACGGCTCATTAAAATCGGACTTAAAATGGCGACGTAGTGTCAAAAAAAGTAAATAGCCCATCGGGGGGGCGTGGCAAAAAAAAAAAAAATTTTTTTTGGGTTCGCCTTCAAAATATTTTAATCCTAGGGGTGGACTGGAAAAACTTTTTTTTTTGTATGGGGACCGATCCGCACTAATGTACATATGTACATATGTTGCAAGAAGTCCTTTGGTTGATTAAAATCACAAATACTTCATATGCTTACGTTATATGTATGTATGTATGTATGTACATATTTATTATGAACTGCCTTTGTCAACGTTTAACTTCCTTCACGTGCTGAAAATAGTTTTAAAGGCCGTCTGCCTTGCGGTTCAACAGCTCAGGAGCTTTTAGTGCTGATTTGCATATTTTGCCCATTTAAAATAACTTGAACTTATACTTACATACATACATAGATAGCTCTCGGTGCTGAGAATATTATGTTTTTCTTGGATTTCTGCTTAGCTTCTTTTACACTTGCGAACGAGCATATACATACATAAATATATATGCATTGATGTATCTACATATATGCATATGTACATATGTCCACTAGATCCTTGCCTAATGCAAATGCATACATATATTTGGATAAATTTAAGTTTATACGGTTGATTGATTTAAAATCTCAGTTCAACCACATTCACTTGGCTTCAGGGAAAAAATTGACATTTTTATAACGAAAATGGATAAGGAGCAACCAGCAACCCAGCAAACATTTGAAATAATAAATGAGTCACTTAGGGCTGCGTACCTCCATAAGGAGCTCGTTTAAGAGTCCGAAATGAGGGTTGTTCCCTTTTTGCGAAGGTCGACTTACATATACATATGAGCTTAAATTCATACTGCAAAAGAGGCTCAATTTGAGTCATAAGTGACTCTTATTGGCCATATACATATACAGCTCATTTGTACTCATTTTTGTTTGCTCCAAATCGTTAGGGATCTCTTGATTTCGTTGTTTGTACTAAAAAGGCTTTTTCAAAATTGTAGTGCAAAACAGATTTAAGAAAATAAAGCATTACTTATGTATTTATACACACATACCTTTAAAAGGAAGCATTTGCAGTACAAGAGGTAAGTATTCTTTATTATATTTTTTACTTATGGAATTCTTTTTTTTTATGTAAGTTCCAAAGTTGCTTTTTAGTATTGTTTTTTAGCACAAATTGCATATATGAGGCTAAGAATTTTTGTTTTTGAGACTCATATTTCTTGAAGATGTAAATAGACTCGTTTCGGACTCATACATTATGAACGCTGAAGGTATGTTTGCGTGGCTTAGCTATAACACTTTTTACACTCGACCGCACTTGTGCACCTTTTTCATCCTTTTTGCGATTCAGCTACATATTTCGCACGCAAAGTACCGATGTCGAACGATCACTTTATTCGTGCCTAGCATAATTTGAAAAATGTGTTTCGAATTGTTAAATATTTATATGAACGCTGGAAAATAAAGCTTGGACATGCATTTTTGGCAGCTCAGGATCTGAATCTTGATTTTTGATCATTTAAAAATGGGACAAGTATTTTTGGCAATTGAAAACTGTACATACAGTAACTAAAAAATTTAACACAATAACATCACTTTTTAAACAAAAAAAACACACCTTCAATGCTCCATATATTAATATATATATATTAACATATATATAAATTTTAAAGTTCCTTTAGTTTCTTCATGATCCAATGGTTGAAACTAAACAAATATAGTATGGGACCACCCTTTAGGGATAACCTTTCCGATAAAAGAAAATTATCGAAAACGGTTCACCAAAATTCTAGATTGAGTCCTCGTGTATATTGTTTAGCCACCTTCTGCCATATATACGACAGACGTGTTGATTTAGGTATACTGAGATAAAGAGCTCAACGCCCAATACTGTTGAATTGAATCGAATTTCGTTAAAATGTTTCAATGCTCGAACTAATTCGAACCGAACCAAACAAGACGTTAGAATTTTTTTACTCAGTTCTTTTTAAGACTACGAAAAATACATCAGCAAAAGCAAAGGAACTTTTAATCAATCAACGGTTTAGTCAAAACTTAGCTATTTCTTTTTTAGAAATTTCAACAAAAATACAAAAAAAAATACTAGCACTAAAATTCTATACAATTTTTGAGCTGAAAATTTTCCACTAAGTTCGGCCATTTTTGGCTGAGCACAAACTGAAACCCGGAGGAGTACGATCACCATCTAGCCTTTAGTGAGGACCTTCAATATAATCTAAAAAATTAAAACTGAAAATTACGGTTATAATATGATCGAAAAAATCAGACATCAAAAATAATAATAAGAAAATTTATCAAAAAGTAATAAACAATTACACAGGTTTACAAAAAAAACAAAAGTTTCTGCATATTGAACCAAACCTCTATATCCTTCAGGTTCGAGGTGATTTCATGGTCAATTAGAGTAAAATTCATTGAATATAAGTGGAAATTTAACAAAATTCTTCTGAATTTGACCTTGAAATGACCTTGGCATGACCTCCAGATGGCCATGAAAAATCAAGGGATCCCAACAAAAACCTGGGCATATGAATTTACATTTTTATTCAAAAAATATTTCCCTATTTTACCCCCAACGATCTCAAACCTGAGATTATAGAGGTTTAAGGGCCGCGGATTTGGACTCCTTCTTTCTGTCGTCATGCCATCTTTATAATTGTAACATTTTTTTCATATTTTTTGTCATTTTTATTCCTAGTGGAAATTCACCATTAGTTAATAAATCACGTGAATGCTAAGATATTCAGCCAAGTTTAAATCAATTTAAAATACTTTGGGTGTTCTACATTGATTTTGTCTTCTCTTTATGCATTCGCCTTAATATTTATGGATTCACCAGAATATTATTTAAACGTATATTTAATAAGCCAAAAAATTGGGATTCTTTTTACCGATTCAGCAACTTTTCAGATTTGTTCATTGTCTTATGCGGTGTCAAATCCAAATTTTAATATGATGCTCTTTTAATATCCACATAGCTATGTATGTTCGAGTATCGCTTATTTTCTAAAATACTGTCATAACTAAAAAGCGACACTTTCGAGCAAATGATGCAGAACAAGTATGTCATATCGTATTTTATATTGTGTACAAATTTCGTGCTAAAATCTTCTGTAGTTTCCCGGTAAGGAGACAATATGCATTTTTCCTACATTTTGGTAGCAAATTTATAACTTTGAAAGCATCTTCTGAAAAACATCGCTTTTTGAGTTGTGACAGTATTTTAGCAAATGAGCGATATGTACATATTTGTATATGTTCATTGCCTGGATAAATATGTACTTACATATATGTATAAGAACATTTTGTCGAAGTCCATATGAGTGCATGAGAAAAGACTGCACTCACCGAAAATTTTTTGTTATTTTTTCATTCATTACCATGCCGCATGAAACCATAGGAATCCCCTTCGCTCAACTGGGTGTCAGTTGCTATAAGAGTATGCACAATTATATGTATGTATACAAATGTACATATATGCCCATACTTACCCACTTACAAATGCTTTAGTTAATCGCTAAAAATGAGAGCGACTATCCTCAAAAATCACGCCAGCCATAGGAGAGGGCCTTTGATGCACTATTCCATAACATAAAATATTCATAAACACTCTCAAATTACGTACAATTGCATGTACATACATACATACATACGTACATGGGAAACCACAAGTACCCACAATATCTGGCGCTCTGGAGTCCAGCATGATGCGATCATTTCTCCACAAATTAGTTCTCTACATATACCCGATCGAGATGAGTGTATTACGGCATCAAAATATTAATTGAAGATGATTTGTATCATAGAATAAACGTAACGGGAAGTGTCTTAAAAATAGCATAGAAATAAAACAGATATTCTTAAGTAAATTAGTTCAAGAAAATTTAAGCTGCAAAAAAATGGTAAATCTCAACTTTTTAAGGTGGCATAAAAATTAAAAATTAAGCTTTACTTTGAGCAAAAACATAAGAAAATTTGAACTATATACATACATAAGTATGTAGTGCGGGTTGGTGATAAGGCAGCAAAGAGTGCGTGCGCTTCTGATGTGTCCGAATAGTATTGGCATAGCATTTTTGAACGCATTTACATACAAATAAGTACATGTATGTATGTATGTATCTCCCAATCTGAACGCATACTCATAAAATCCAAAGCCGTACCATATCAAAATTGTGGACTGTTTTGCACAAGATTAGTTTTGCACTATACATTTTGTGACTGACTCCGAATCGGCGTTAAATGCATCCAAACTACTAGAAAAATCAGGGACCGAAAATTGCCATTTAATAGCAAGATTTTTATATTTATAACATTTGATCGTTGTTTTTTTTTTTGTTAATTATAATTATTTATTACCTTTTTAAATTCTTCTATGGTGGTAAGTGAAATCTGCAGATGACGGATATTGTATGAATGAAAAACTAAAAATTAGTGTTGGGCAGTATCGATACCAAAAGTACTCACAACTCGATTCTTAAAAGGATCGACAGAACCACATTTTTAAAAATATCGATACTGAGCATTTCAAAGTACTCAGTAATCGCAAAAAAACACGAAAGTTTTTACCAACATATGTATATTTAAAAAAAGTACTTAGTACTCACAAAAATACCCAATACTTAAAACTATCGATACTCAAAAGTCCCCGATACTTCCCGACAGTAATAAAAATCATAAAATAACGGCTAAGTTTGATTTGAAAAATGTATATCCAATTTTGACTGTTAAATTATGATGTTTATTATAAAGATCAGGAAGATTACGGTTACCGAAAAAAATTTATATATAATTATGTTTAATAATGGATAAACATTTACCAAAGATTGGTAGAGGAACTTGGAACTTGGATTGAACTGTCTGAAATAGAATCAATTAATAACGAGTTCCAAAATTTATCAAATAGTGGTTAATCTAATTTTATTTGAATAAAACGAGTTCTAGTATGTAGTATTCTCTGATGTACTACTCCAGCGTAAAGCCCTGTATGCAGCTCTCAAGAAAACGGTCAAGAAAAAATTGCCATTATTTCGTTTGTGTGCCCAAGGAATTTTGACATTTTTGATACTTCACAGCCTGTTGCCTCACTCTTTCCTCAAGAAATAATGGAACGGGCATATATTTCTGTTGCAAACCTGGGTTGCCTTGTGCTCTTTTTTCACAAAAAACTTTAGAAAACCGTAGTAGAAAGCGTAGTAAATTTCTTAAGAACTGCGTACTGCCTTAAGGAAATTTGACTCAAGAAAATTTCTTAGCCATTTCTTGTACGTCATTTTATATGGAGTTTTTGCTTTTCTTGAGAGCTGCATACAGGCCTTAAGTTTTGAACTAGTTCGATTTACTACAGTGACTTTTTCTGTAAGTACATACATATGTACATACATAAATATTTGGGATGTGTGGACAACATCTGTGCGCACAGTTTGCCGGTTAGTCTTTCTTTGTTAAATTAAATTCATGAAAGTTTTTAGTGTGTTTCTCCTTTTATATAAAAATGCATACTGGTTAGCGTCCCCGAGTCTAGTCTTGCACGCAATTAGGAAGTAGGGCGCCATTTCGTTACGCTTTCTCCTGGAACGCTTGTCATTGGTTGGTTTTTCGATGAATCTACTGTTCACCAAGATGGACATTCACAGGTGTAGTGAAAAGCCGTTTTTATATCCCTTAGGTTGTAGCTGTGACAGTTTTGTTATGTGGCTGTGGTTCTATAAATTTATTTTCTCGATCTACATATTTATTTTAGAAGTTCTTCCCTCCTTTGTTTGTCCTATTTGGAGAACTTGAAACAAGCTAGTTCATTGGGATTATAGCTATTAAGCAGGGATCACACGATTTGTATGGATTTGTACATTTTGGCAGTCACATAGTGGTATTTTTTAGAAGTTTGAGTTCAGCTCAACAAAGAAGTTTCAGACAACACCACTCTGTAACTGTCAAAATATACAAACCTGTACAGAAGTACAAGTCATGTGTGATCGCTGCTTAGCAGCTGTCACTTGTAAGTTCCTTAAACCCCTCATTCTTTTTGTAGAATGGTATCCAGTTTTTCCTTGATTTTTTACCCAAGTTCACCCTGTACATCTTGAATAGTAGTAACAGCAGTCTCCGCAAGATGCACTTGTTCAGCCAATGATTTTTTCCCTTGCAATTTAGTTATTTTTCCGACAAGAAGCTGTAGTTTGCATTGATACGGTTAGCCTGTGCTTCAATCGAATTGGAAGCTATTGCTTTTTTCGCCTTCAATATTGAAGAAGTGTCACTATCATTTAGATCTTTAAGAAAGGTTTGAAATTCCTCAAAATGCCGCCTTGCCGCTTTTAACCAGGCTCCCCATCTCGTTAATATTGGCTGTGGCGGAAGAGCGATATTGGGAAACATGTTCTTAAAAGCTTCAACGCGCAAAACAGATTTTAAAAATATTTTTTCCCATTCGATATTAAATCGTATTATAGTAATCGATAATAGATTTACAAAAACCAAGTTAATTTTCCTATAAGCTTTCGGGTTTTCCTGGAAATTTATCCAGCCAGCCCTTAAATGGTGCATTCGAGAATATTTTCTTAATGAACCAACCCTACAGGTATTCGTCAAAATACTTACGCAGCTTCCTGTTTACCATTCTCCTACTTAAGGACTTCGGTGAGGTATGCACTTAAAGGCCGCACATATAATAACGCCTACATAAAATGCCTATTTAGTAGTCAGATATATTTGTAATATTAAGTATTTTACTCCCCCTTCATTTGCAGACGGAAAGAAAGCAATCGGGCTTTTTTGTTCAGCCTTTTACCACCTCGGAAACCATATACATATGTGGGTATATTGTAAGCCATGACCTAAATATTGTAAACTCGTTGCTGTTATCCTTACCCCAATAAACACTCGCTATTTTGAATGAAATTTAATTTTATTCTAAGGATTTATTGAAAACGCAAAAACCAAATTAAAAGCTTGTAAAAAAAGCAATCATAAAGCCATAGTAACTTTTCAGGGATTGCCGTCAAAACAGGCGGAAAATTATTTGCGCATTTGCGCGTGTATGCATGTGTATTTAGACATGTATGTATTTGTATTTTACAATTGGCAATGATTCAAACTTTCATGGAAGGAAATGTATAATGCAAAAGTAACGGCTTTTATAAACGACATTTTCCATTTAAAACACTTACATATTACACGTACATACTATGTATACTTATGTGCATTAGGGTCGTCCAAATTTTTTTTAACGGCCACGCCCAAGAACTCATGGCTATCGAAGATAAGGAGGCGTGTATTTTTTATAGCATAATTTACTATTGGTTTTTATTCTAACTAAGCAATCCTTTCCAAGAATATGTGTGGATTATAGTATTTTCAAAAAAATTTCATTAGGCACATCCATAGTGTATAATTTCATTTAGCTTATATAATTATCTCATCTCAGTTTATAAATGGGTGGCAACCCTACTTTGAGTGCTTATGCATACGCCTTCCGATCGATACTTATTGTGGTATTAAATATGCTTACATTTTTTAACAAACGTCGTTGTACTTTTGTATAGAGGTGGCAACACCATTCCAAAGTATTTTTTTTAAACTCTTCAATTGCTTTTAGTTTTAATGTAAAAAATTCAACATTCTGGTGAGCTTTTAAATAATTTTAAATTTCAAAATAACTGGCAACCCTATTTTTCAAAAACAAATTTAACATAAACCTACAGAAAACATCCAGTTTAATGCAAAAACAAATGCAGTACGAATATTCAAAGAAGGACCTGTATTTTTGGCCCACCCTAATGTGCATTTATGTATACGTGTACAAATGGCACAGGTTTTGAATAGGCGACAATCCTACTTGCTTATGCAAACCCATCTTTATAGGGACGTACCGTTTAATAGCTGCTGATATAATCTCAAACATACATACATATGCATGTGGGTACATACACATGTACATTGTAGTTACTATATGTACATATTGGTTTTTATAAGAAATATTTATCGCCCGAAAGGGAAACAATAAGGTGCTTGGTATTCCTTTGATCGTTTTCCTTTTTCCTGCCCTTATATTTTGCATTTATTTTAATTTAATTTTTATTTATTTTTTTCTTAGGCAACGAAACTACATCATTTCGCATTCCTACCCATTTTGTTACCGCTTTTACATCTGTTGACATCTTCTTTAACGGCAGTGGACGCAGCCAAAATTCTTGGCTTATTTGCACATCCCAGTGAAAGCCATTTCGCCGTCATGCAAAGTTTAATGATGGAGTTGGCGAAGCGCGAACACAATGTAAGTGGAATGGCATTAAA